CAGCAAGAGGGTTCCTGGATCAATCCCAGGAGGGAACCCTTCTGTGCGGAGTTTGCATGTTCTCCCTGTGTCAGCATGGGTTTTCTCTGGGTACTCCAGCTTCCTCCCACAGTCCAAAGACATGCAGGTTAACTGGTGACTCTAAATTGTCCGTAGGTGTGAATGTGAGTGTGAATGATTGTCTGTTTCTATGTGTCAGCCCCCACTGAACCCGGAATTGCTCCCAATGGCTGTTTGAGTGCATGTGAATGTTTACTGAATAGCAGGTGTAGTAGTATGTACACTAGAAAAGTATTATACAAGTGCAAGTACATTTACTGTTTTTTTTAACATGGCTTATTTCCTGACATTTTTTATCTTTATTGCCAAGCATTACCATCTGTTGGAGTCAGTGTTCTGGCTAAGTAATGAACGACTCTCCTTTTAACTCTGTTTTGGTCTCCACCATGATCTGAGAAAAATATCTGGCTGTATAGCCACCGGATCTTTGGCTTTTCCATCAGTCAATCAGAACTTTTCAGAACTTTAACAGATGTTGGTTGGAGTGATGAGATTTCCATTAATATTCAGGCTGTCAAACCAAACTAGTGAGATATGTGAGGTTAAAAAGCCATTTGGAGCTACAGAGTTTTGTGATTATTCACTGTGGGTTTGTCAGTACAAACGATCCAGTTTGCTTCACACGTTGTGGTTAATTGTTGGTATACAGAATATTGATGAATTCAGCTTTCATGCAAGGCGTAAAGGGGCTATTGATGAGAAATACAATGACAACAGTTGAATATGGCTGCAGCTAACGATTATTTTCATTTTTGATCAATCTGCATTATTTTCTCGATTGATCTCTAGAGCTTTAAAATGTTAGAAAAAGTGAAAAATGTCTGTCCCAGTCCCTCAAAGTCCAAGGTGAAGTCTTTAGTTTTGTCAGTCAAAAACCCAAAGATATTTAGTTAATATGAGATAAAATGAAGAAAAGCAGAAAATCTTATATTTGCAAGATTGGAAACTGCATTTTCTGTCAGTTTTGCATGAAAAATTACTTGAACATTTAAGGTGATATTGCCTTATTTTTATTCCTCATAATGTTTATTGTATATTTTATGTATGTATGCACCAAAAAATCTAAGTGAAAACCTACTTTGCAATAAATCCTTCTCTGATTCTGACATGGTTGGTAATTATTTTTCTGTCAATCGCCTGATCAGTTAGTTGACTAATCGTTGCATCTCCATAGTTGAGCTACGAAGGACTAAATGTTGAGGGAAAAAAAAGAAAGAAATTAAGTAAAAGGAGCTGAACATGTGAGGAGGAGGAGGACTCCTGGTTCACCTCCTGGGTTCCAGGAACTCCCTTGGTCTGCTTCCAATGATTGCCCCCAAGCCCCTTTGCCCCCCCCAACCCTCTTTACCTCTGCAAATACCCCTTCAAACCACCCCTCAACCCTCCAACCCCAAATTTTCTGGCAACTCCTTTAATCGCCCCCATCACCCCTTCTTCCTCTCAACCACTCACCCCCTCCTTTCACCCTTTGGCATCCCGTCCAAACTGCTGCCCTCTCAGCAAACATCTCCCCTCCTCCCTTTCTTTCTCGCCCACCCCCCTTCCTCCCCCCTTTGACTGCCGTAAATGCCCCCAGGACTGTGGTTCTTTCAGTTATTCACCTCTCCTCCAAACCCACACGTCTTTCTCCGATTCAAAGCTTGCAAACTCTCCCTCTCTCTCTCTTTCTATCCGCTTCCCTGGCTCTCTCTCCCCTTCTCCCCGGGAAGTAAAATATTCACAGCTGCTGCTGCGGTCAGGTCGCACGGCCACAAGACTCTCTGAGCAAACAGAGGAGCTGTGAACGTGTGAAGCCGATGGTGTACGTTTCATTTGAGGTCCGACACAGGTCCGATAGATCCTGATGTAGTCAAAACAGAAACCGCATACTGAGCCTCGCCACATGCCTCAACAAACCAAACACTAACCAAACATACCCAAGCACAACACTAAAAAATGACATTGGCAAACAGTTTTTAGAAACATGTTAGGCGCACTGCAGAAATGGGAGAAATGATGCGTGGCTTGGTGCCGCTGAACAGGCTCACTCAGATGTCATTGGGGTTGATAATCAGTGTGAAACATCTGTCTTGGATCAATGCCCCACTTTTTAAGTCTGGCCTTGTTATGCATTACGGGTAAAGGCTAGAGCACATTAAGTCATGTTAAAGTTGCAATAAAAATACATCAAGCTATTCCAAGAGGGCTACACATGATATATATGCAGACTTGATTCCAAGTTCCCTGAATGAACAAGTGGACGAATTTGTCTCAAATATCTACGCCAGATTCCCGCGTTCCAATAAGGGCTTAAACGGGAAGTTTTACATATGTAGATCTCTGAAGTTGTACCACCAAATAATAAAGACATCTTGGCTTAGGAATGCCAGCCCTTGAACTTTATGAGGGAGGGAGACGGGGGGGAAGGAGGCGGGGGATCAGTGTCTTGAACACATTTCAAAGTAATTGTACTTGATATGTCGTTTACAGAACACCCAAGTAATCATATAAACAAAGGACTAGATGCCCTGGGAGGATGAAAGGAAATTTGAATCTCCCCCTGATGCATCATACTTACTCACGTTTTGACACGAGCGTAAGGCACAGAGGATTCCTGAACACAAAAAGAGGATCTAGGACCTTTTTGTAATAAACACAGCGGGATGGACCAACTCTGGTGGATTCCATCATACTCAAAAATTACCATACACACACACAGAAACAGATGGCAGAGAGTTGAGAGTAATAGATGCAATGAACAAATTACAACTGCTGCAGCCCTGGGCAGAGGAAGTGTGTGCATGTGTGTGTGTGTGTGTGTTTGCGCGATAACCTTGCTCTAGGTCTGATCCCGCTAATAGCTGGAATCTATCTGAACTTAACCAAGACACGACAACATTTCGAAAAGCAACGAAAATATAATGTGAATGCAGCGCAGAGGGAAATGGCAGGACCCAGACAGCAACAACATGAGAAAGGGCGTTTAAGAGAAAAAGAGGGAAAGCAAGAGAGGAATAAAGAAAACATGACATCATAGTTAATTAGAATCAGGTGATAAACAAGGGAGTTATATTTACGTTATACCATATGTCTTGCTCCATGTGTCTTTCTGTCTCAGGGGGGCACCGCAACAGGTTTCAGACAAGTAAGGTCAAGGAGGAGGCTTTTCCCAGCTGCTAGACCACACTGATGCACACACCTCTTTACCCGGCCGCCCAAGTGTGTGTGGTGTGTGTGCGCGCGTGCGTGTATGTCGGCCATTTCTAAAGCCTGTTTTGTCTTTGTTGTTATCACATAAAAGACAGTGTTTATCCTCCAGGAAGCCATGTTTGCCATGTGTACTTGTAAGGGGAGAGTTCTTTGCAGTGAGAAATGAAAACCCCTGAACTCATCAACCAGGTTGTTTGCTGGGCTTCTTTCAAAAGTCTAATCTCTTACAGATTCCTGATCCACGTCTCGGTTTTAAAAGTTTTCCACTGACTTAATCACACTTTGTAAGAGATTACTGTAGATAAAGATTGGTATGGTGCTTTTGAGTTGCCAAAACATTTGAATGTTTGAGCGAGAAAAGTCCATCTGGACTTTTTGAAATAGAAGTTTGACAAAATAATCATGGCCTACTTTTGTAGGGTTTGTTCCATCCGAGAAAACTGAGCAAAAGTTCGTCTGCCAATAAACATCATTAGATGTGGTTGAAAGCTGCCGAAAAACTAGTAGACCATGGGTTGAGATTACTTTGTCAACATTATTTTGCAGATCAGTAATGGGCTTTTTAACTAATTTCATGGTCTTCATCTGCTTGGAGTATACACCGACCAGCCACAACATTAAAACCACTGACAGGTGAAGTGAATTACTTTGATCATGTTGTTATAATGTAATGTTCGGATGCTACTTGACGCACCACCCACCCAAACACAAAGAACTGCTCAGGAATGGCCCAGGGAATGAGACAAAGAGCTCAAGGCATCAACCTGCCCTCTAAATTCCCCAGATCCCAATCTTATCGAGCATTCATGGGATGTCCCAGCACCCCAGAGTTCCTGTGTCCATGTTTCGAGCCAAGTCCGGTCCACAGTGGAGCCTCTGACCTGTTGAGGTATGGTTTCTGTCATTGTGACGCTGGTGGCGAATTCTTTGAGTCCTGTGGATTGTGAGGTGAGGTACCTGCATTTCCCGCGGATGTTCGATCAGCCAGGTCAATACCTTGAACTCTTTGTCACGTTCCTAGGGCTACTTCTGAGCAGTTTATTTGGCCCAGGATCCGTGGGATGTGCAAGTACCCCAGAGGTCCTGTGTCCATGTCTTGACTGGTAAGAGCCAAGTCCGATCCACAGTTGAGCCTCTGACCTGTCAAGACATGGACGCAGGACCTCTGGAGGTGTCTTGCGGATTGTGAGGTGAAGTACCAGCATTTCCCACAGATGCTCGATCAGCCAGGTCAATACCTTGAGCTCTTTGTCACGTTCCTGGGGCCATTTCTGAGCAGTTTTTTGGTGTGGCATGGCACATTGTCCTGCAGGGAGGAACCACTCCCACAGGGGAGTGCTGTTGCCATTGGCCATGGTACGTGTCAAGTGGCATCCATGTGAATGCCAGGACCAAAGGTTTCCCATCAGAACATCACATTGTAACAAGTTGGTCAATAGTTTTCACTTCACCTGTCCATGGTTTTTATGTTGTGGCTGGATGGTGTATAATAGTAGGGCATAGTCACAATAGCTTTTAATTCCCAGCACTTTGCATGGTAATATAGAAATAATACAGTAAATCAATTGCCTGGGTCAACTGATTGAAGCATTTCCTTGAATGTTTAGTTTATATATGTATTTATTTCTATCTCTTTGCTGTGTATTTACAGTAAGAACAACCAATAATTGAACTGTGAAAATATCTGAAAGGATTCAAAGTCACTCAAACAACTTAAAGACAAATATATTTTTTATATTTATTCAGGTTTAAATGATTAGTATTCAAAAAGAGAAGCATAAATGGTAAAAAAAGACAAGAATTTGTCCTTTTTGTGTTTTTGTTCTTTTTTTGTTAAATATTACACAAAATAAATAAATTCAAAGAAAAAACATGATAGTGTTAGACTTGCTGTTGTGTTGGTACCTGTTGGTACTTGACTCTCTCTTCCTTTTCATTTCCTGCTTGTCATGCCTTTTCTTCTCCTCTGTTCATCTTTCTATCAATACATCCTCTTCTAGTCTTTCTTTTCCTCTCACATATTTTTCATTTTCTTTCTTCCAAGTCAAGCGCTTCACATGTACACAAATCTAGAAATGTGAGTTACTAATCACATTTTGGCACAGAAGTAATTTCTTTTCATATTTTCTACTGTGCCAATGTACTTGATAACTTAAAACAGAAAATAATATATACATTGTATAGCAATATATCTTATTTCTTTCTTTAAAAATAGAAATGTCTTTATCAAACAGAGATAAAATGTCCATAGGTTTCCATTCTGTACCTCCTCAGTGCATCATTCAGATCTGATTCAGATCTGTCCAATGTAGCCATCGCTGTAACTCCAAAGAAAATGTCCGACACCCTGCGTTGTGCAGAGCTCTTTCATGGCTGATATGTCCAATCATCGTGGTTGTACCACAATGGGCAGGAAGTGAGTGGCAGTGTTTTTCCTCCGTGTCTTCTTCCCCCTCATTGGCTTTCCGTTGGCGTTCAGTCCCACAAACATGTGCTTCCTCTTGTTGCGCCACTCTGCTGAAGCGTAGGTGTTGTACTTGTTCTCCTCGATGCGTTCGATCAGACGGCAGTCTGGACCAAAGTCCCTCTGTAGGGGAGAGACAAGATGTAAATGTCAGATGTTTAGACTTGAAACATTTGGTTGGTTGATACTAGTTTCAGTTTTTGAATTTCAAGGTTTTCTTTGTCTTGTATGGCAGTAAACTGAATATTTTTGGGTTTGAACTGTTGGTTAAACAGAACAAACTATCTGATGGCATCTCTTTGGACTTTGGGAAATCATCATTTCTCACTATTTTAGGTAGTGGGTCAGTTAGTCAGAAAAAAAGACCCCTATTGATTTTGAGAGCAGATTCATACATGTAAAAATGGTTTGATTTCAGAACCTCGATGACGCTGCAACAGTTTTTGGATTTCTCAGGCTCATATTTAACTACTCTGCAAATCAGAAGGCTGTTATACTGTACAGCTGGGGCTGCTTACTTGCTGTATGTTTTATTAACTCCCCATTTTAATGGAGCCTAGTTTTTACTTAATCATAATCTTCTCCTTATCCACATCTTGTTGTCAGTTCCTTCTCTTAAAGGAATACTTCACCCACAAAATGACCATTTGTATGCAGTTTTTTTCATGCCCTGTTACCTTGAGTTCTTGAATAACACTGTTTTCTTGCATGTCTCCGCAGAAAACGACATATTGATTTAATGACTGATTGGGGACCATGTTTGACAGCCAAACTATATTAAAACTCTCACACAACTCATGCAGTATGATCCAAGTCTCATTTATCCAGTGATACTGTATGCTCAGTACTTCCAACACAAGCATTTTTGCTAAAACCTTACAATTTAAAACTGAACTGAAAGTGAAAGCTATGTTCTCTCCACAGCCAGACTGCAATACTGTTTTTTCCAGTGGAAATGCACGTGTTTGGAAAGTACTGAGCATACAACCAGATAGACGAGGCTTGGATTATACTGCATGAGTTGTGTGAGAGTTTGTAAACGGGTGTTTTAACATATTTTTGCTGTTGTTAAATGTGGTACCCAATCAGTCAATAGATCAATAAAGTTGCTGTTTTCAATGGAGGCATGCAAGAAAAAGTTTTCTTCACAAATTCAGTGTAACAGAGGATAACTAACTAATACACAAATGGTCATTCTGTGGCTGAAGAATTCCTTTAATCTTTCAGTTTTGTTATTACTATGACATTTAGTTGTTACTAGAAGTTGTTCTTTGAGGCCTTGACTGAGCACAGCAACAACATGATTTATCACTACTTGTGACAACACAGACAAATGGTAAGCTGTTGCTTAAGAATCTGCTGCACAGTCCCCCATGTAATCAAGGCCAATTTGTAAAACCAGGCATGAATTGTTTCAGAGGATGTTTGTGTGTCAGTGGACTGGGGGAGGGAGGGGAGATGTCGTAGGGCAGCGAGGTCAACATGAGATGTGACATCTTAAAGGTTCAGGCTCTGTGCCAGCAAAGAGCATCGTGACACGGTGTTTGTGGCTTACGTTACCGCAGTGACCACCCACTGGTAAATAAAGAGAAAATGATCTGAGAGAGTAACATTTGTCAGTTTACTGGAAGCTGCCCTTGCGCTTTAGGCTAACGTCGCTTAAACAGCCAGTTAACTGGATGCGGTTATTCACGAGCAAAAATGTACTCGCCAGGCACGCACACACACACGCACACACACACAGACACACATGCACAGTATAACCCAGTCTCTCCCTCTGTATCTGGCCACAGCTGTTTAAATTGGTTCCAGAAGTAAAACTGAATGTTCCCAAAGCAAAATGAGAATATTTTACAGACACTGTGCAGCTATCATACGCTGGTGCTCTGTACGATCAACCAGTGTGTGTGTGAGTCTGTGTGTGTGTGTGTGTGTGTGTGTGTGTGTGTGTGAGTGAGTCTGTGTGTGTGTGCGCATGCTGGCTGCCTTTCAATTAAAATGATTGGAAAAGCAGATAAAAGATAATACTGTAGTCTAAAGTGACATCAAATTATGGTAATGAATTATGAAAAATGATGGTTTCAGTATCATTTTATTGAGTTACTTACAGGACTGATCTTAAAACGTCAATCTCTACTTTTAATAGAAAAACTTATGGACGTGATTAATTTTGCAGAGACCACACAGTGGATTCATCATTCGTCCTTCTTCGTTGGTTTTCTTTGAGAATTCTATACAAATTGAATCATGGTTTAACCTACAGGCAATCATAATCATTTGTGTCCCTTATGTGTATTAATCTGGGGATTAAATGAAACAATGATTTCATTTGATTACCGCCGGATAAAGAGGGCACTGTGTAAACCCATCAAGTGTAATCGAATGCCATGCTCTTCACCGCCGCGCTACTATGGCTTGTGTTGCACCGAGCAGAAGACGTCATGGGAATTCAGTTTCAGGCCATGCAACAGAATGCCTCTCTGTCTTTTTCTACCGTGTGTCATTTCATCTGTGGTGTGGCTCCCAGAGAGACACGCTGAAAGTTGGGTCTTTCAAAGTAAGCAAAAGAGGAAAAAAAAGAAAAAAAGGAGGGAGAGAATGAGATGAAGAAAAGGAAGGAGAAAGAGAGAAAACAGATGAAACAAGGGCTGCTCTCCCCAGAGGGACTGAAGCAGAATAGAGAAACTGAAGGATTGTGTTTCCTGTTTCTGAATGGAGCAGAGAGGAGAGGTAGGTAGCAGAGGAGAGCTCTCATTGACTAACTGTGGTTCCTATTTCTGGAATAGAGAGTCTTGCAGTCTTGTCCATTGTTTTTAAAAGGCATTCAAGAAAATTCAAAGCTGCAGGGTCACCAGTGTAGGGAGAGAGTGTCTCTTTTGCAAGACTTTGATACATTAAGACTGACACATGTTACTCAAAGTCACCAGTGAAGAGGAGATTTTGGATTATAAAAAATAGTAATAGATATCCTTCACTCAAAGGTGCAGATCATTGTGAAACAGCTACTCACCGCTCCGTATAGCTCTCCCTTCTTGCTGATTGCCAGGTAGTAGTTACTGCTGAGCCCCCTGATGGCCACGACTCCCACATCCACTGACTTGATCTCCAACATACCTGGTGCAGCGGGGACAGAGAGACAGAGATTTAAAAACTTTGTCCTGCTGATTTTACATTCGTCTGATACCAGATATATTTTATTTATGGTGCTGAATAAGGTCACAACTAATGATAATTTCAGTATTAATGCCTGTGACATTCCAGCATGCATGGTGACCTCTTCTTATCATTTATTTTGTTGACATCAGTACAAAATACAGAGATAAGTGATATAAACCAGAGGAAAGCAAAAAAAGTCACTCTTTCGAAGCTGAAACCAACAAATATGTGTTTTGTTTTTTTTTTGCTTTATAAACCGTTTAAGTGATGAGTTGAATGTCAAATTTGATGTTGCATATTTTGACTAATCACATTGTTACCAAGAAAATATGAAAATGCACATGAAAATTATGAGAACATCACAAAAATAGGTATTTGACAGTATTAGCAGTAGTTTAAAATGCAAAAAGGTGCATCTTGGAATAAGAGATTTTAGACATGGATCTTTCTTATCTTTAGACATGGATCTTTCTCCACACTGCAGGAGAAACCTGAATAATCTCAGTTTCTTTTGCACAAGTGAACCCCAGTCTTGTCTCCCCGTCTCTTTTTTCCCTCACTGTGTGACAGTCAGACCTCAGACCGGCCTCTTGCCCCCTGTTCATTTGCTGGTTAGCTCGCAGGCTGCGTGCCCTGGGACCGAGGTGCAAGCCAGGAAAAAACATTTCTCCGTCCTCTGTTTGTTTTTCTGACCAGGGGAGCTCAAGCGGGCAGGCAGGCGGGCGGGCACACGGACAGGACGGAGAGAGGCTCTCTGGCTGCCAATCTGGCAAGAGGTCAAGGCGTCCGTATCAGTTTTCAAGCCTGAACCAATTACTGGTTTAAGCTGCGGCCGCCGGCCCTTTCTTCTCTCATCCTAAAGCCAGTTACACCAAGCCATAAAACTATCAAGGGTTTGAGAGGATTAGCTAAAGGGGCTGTTAGGAAGTGGAGTATAGTTGCAGGAAAAGTCAGAAGGATGGAGTGAGAAATAGGGACGATCTCTCCAGACTGTCTCTAGAGGTCTGATATTGGCTATTTTTATGTGCACACAAATATTCCACTATTTTCTGAATATTACAATATTCTAAATTTGATGTGGGTCTTGTGAACAACATATTCTGTTAAAGATATTCCAAATTAGGCCTTCTCCAATGAAGCATTTTCCGATTAACGCATGGGACATGCCGGTATTGTTCAGATTTTTGGAGCATTCTTTGGACATGTAGACAGTCCATTCAGAATATGCATCTCAGTTGGAGTTTTTACCACAGTTTGCAACACACAGCGTCTTGCCTGTTGTCAGTTGGCTCTGTGCGTTGTCATGGATATGTCGTACACAGACCAGCAGTGTGCAAGGCTGTGGGGTAGAGATGCATACCCAAAAGAAAAGCCCATTCTGAGCAACACACCTACTTTTAAACATTATAAAAGACTAGGACATAACAGGTTTCATCGCAATGCCAACCTTTTCAAGAAGGTGGTTGAAGGAATGAAAGAGGGACGCTGTGTTTGCACTTTGATGCAAAGAAGCAAATGGCACAAGCGGCTCCAGCCATTCCAGTATTCCATATTTTGACGTGATAAACAGCATGTTAGGGCACATCAATCAGTGTATGCATGGCTGCACGTTCATGGGAATTAGCGGAATATTCATTTCCGTTAGCCGTGTAAACAGCTCAGTAGGAATATTGTGTTTTTCAGAATGACAGTGAAACCCAGAGTATGTTTTGCCTGTAGATGTAGTCATTGTCATTCTTGAGATTTTAACATGACAGATTTGGACAGCTTTCTGTTTGAGTAATGTGTTATTATAGACAACTTAATGCCAGAAAACAATCTGTAATTCTCTGAAGAGTGAATTGGCAGCATATACAGCAGTACGGTTACCATGAAAGACTGAAAACGGACACAGTCTCAAGCAAACATCCAGAATAATTACTGTTTTCATGTTTGATTTCTTTCTTTGTAGATTTTGCACATATTTTCACATGTTCCCCAACTTTGGCAGCAAGGCAGTAAAAGCAACTCCGGAAGAAAAAGTGACCAGTTGAAGCAAATAACACTAAATACAATGTGAGAGGAACGGTTAAAGGTCAAGCAAATGTCTTTTTAAATCTCATACAAACCAGTCTTCTTTCCAGACGCCCCTTTCCTGCTCTCATTCCCTTGTTTCTCATCCTCAGACGGGGATTTGCAACATCCTGCAGCCCTGGTGGGATTTTTATGATAGTCAGAGAGATGAAGGGATGAAGGTTGAGGAGAGGTTGAAACTTCAGATGGAGACATCTGAGAGCATCTGCCCTCAAACAGCTGTGTTTAAGAGCTATGAGTCCTCATCTTTCTTTCTTTTTCTCTGCTGCTTTTACATCTATCGCTACTACACTGTCACTGACATCTCCCGTTGTCTGTTGTTATTTGTCTTTGCTTTGGAGTAGGAGTGAGAGACCGTTTTGCATTTGGAAGTGTGTAAAGATGGCATAAAAATTAATTTGATGTTTTGCATCTATGAACCATCTTCTTTTGTTATTGTTTTTGGCCTTGTTTCTTTTATGTTAAAATCATTCCCTGGCCTAAATCCATCCCCACCGTTCCTTTATTTGGTCAGTAAGGGCTTGTTAAACCTCCTAAACTTCAAGTGGATTTTCAGAGCTCACAGTGCATCATGTTGGCTTGTTATGTTAAGTCCATTACTCACACTGACGTGCACCACAGCACAACACTTATCTATCAGGTTCAAAATGTTCCATCTCGCTGCAAACACAGCTGACATTTCTGAGCTGTGATCCGTCAGGAAAGGATCTGTCTGTGCTGCGCTAAAGGCTGGTCCACCTGTTCAAACCCTTTTCCCTCCTCCCGTTTGATGTGGTTTGTCGAAAAACCAAAGCGCAGGGCTCTTTTATGGCCCCTTTGCCAGTTACCAGAAGCAGCCCGTCTGCCTGCGAGTTAAAAGGCCAGGCTGCAACAAAAGGCTTGGATTGCAACAACAGGGTTTATGGCGAGGAGGCAGAAAAAAACAGGACCTGCGCTTGTAACAGAGCCATTCATCAGGTTCTTGTGCACACAGATGTACATACACACATAAGGTGGAAGACCTGCATTGATCTTAAAACTTTACTTTTCTATTTAACATTCAACACTTAGCATTATTAGTGACTCAAGTCTGTTCATGTATTTTCCTCTTTTTTCCTTTTTTTTCTGAGAAGGGAAAGCTTGTTTTCTCCCTCCTGGTTCTTAATTATAAATTTATGTTTATAAGTGCAAAGGAAAAAATGTTTTATAACCCATCACTGAAAGCACAAACAGTACAGGGTTCAGTTAATATAAAAGGCATGGACATTTTCCGCTATCAACAGAAACTACCAAGGGCAAACACCTGTGTGTGTACAACTTTCATAGGGGTCTTTGCCAGTCAAACCCAAACCGTAACACTAACGGAGCTACAAGTACAAATAAACACAACCTGGCCTTCTAACAGTGAGAAACTGTTCATTAACCACTTCATAAAGACCACCACCATGTTTAGAGGGTTTTGTAGCCAAAAATGAAATCCATAAACCTGAATGGAAATCTGCCTTTGACACACAAAAGCAGACTGCAGATTGCTTGTGTCTTCAGTTTGTGATGTTAAATCCACATTTCATGGCTGGCTGTTGTTGATTTGTCGTCTGGTTCTCTTCGACCTTCTGACTTACATTCCTTTATTTCTGTTTATCAATACTTGGTCGGACAACAGACGCTACAATCACAAACTGAAAGTGTGTGCTATGTACAGCAGCAGCAGAGTCACAGCACAGAGTAGCAGGAGTCAGATTTCCCTTCAAGTCATGATAGTAAGGAGAGTTAACCGACAAGATGATGGCTGAGGATGTGGTGTCAAAGTGAAAAGCAAAAGCACCTATATGGCAATATTTCTATGCTAATAGGAAACCTGATAATGTTAATGAAGGAAAAGGAGTTGGTTACATCTCTTAGAGGTTGGAGGTGTGCAGCTCACTGGCTGCTACTTCTTGTTTCATGGCCCCCCTGCATATTTCATTAAACAAATGTCGAAAACAACAGCTGTCTTTTTATGTAAATGCATTTAAATGAACGATAGAGGTAGTGCTAATCTCACTGACAAACACGTTGCATTTTCTGTGATTACTTCATAATACAAATCATGTTTTGCCACTTAAATGCTTTTAATGTGAAGCTGCAGCAGTGGGAAATGTTCAGTTTGCATTAGCAGTAACTTAATACAGCGCTCTACACTTGTAAAGTGTCTGGTTTAATGACTAACGCTTACTAGCATAGGAAGTCTAGTTTTGGCATGAATTGGGTGATATGATACGTATTGTGATAAGGGGGGTTACGATTCAATATATTGCGATATATCGCGATACTGTAAGCAAGGTGATATATTGCAGTTGTTTTATAAATCCAACTGTGCGCCTTTTATGACTCTGCCTCTTTCATAGGCCTGTGTTCCCTTTGTTTAAGTAGTGGTATGTTGTCACGTTGGAGTGGAAAAGTCTGGCTTAAGATAGATTACAACTCTGCCCCCTTTGCATAAAAATTATTGACTAAAAAATTAGTGGTGTTTTTGAGAATCAGTATCACAAAACATAACATTTCGGTACTCGAGTGTATCGACATTTTCTTACACCCCTGGTTTTAAGGAAAGTATTTTTGGGAGTAGTCTACAGTTATTTGTTTTGTAGCCCATTGATGAGGCTTTTAACTGTGGTTTGGCATGAAATTCACTTGACTCTCACTGAAATCTGTCTTCCTTTCTTTTCTTAAAGTATGGTTTTGGGTATTTCAAGGTTTTACAAGAGAGTAAACAAAGAAGAGATGACAGGAAATGAGGGAAGATGAAAGGGAGAATGAGATGCAACAAAGTAGTTCTCAACTTAACCTTGAATATTGAGTAAGTAACAATATTTTTACTTAAGTGATATATATTCTAGCGCCCTCTCTACCCCTGGAGGCTTGTC